TGTTGATGTTGCCCACACTCTTGACTTTCCTCCTTACAGGCAGACATCTTACCTTTGTTCTTGAGAGGCTAGGTGGGTGATGTGGCTCCCTAAATCTCCATTTCTCAATGTATTTCTTGCAGTCGATGTCAGCTTCCTTGTCTTCCTATATCAAAAGTTTGGATATGATGCTTTTTGGGGTATAATATGCTCCTCTCCAGGATCCAGGAATTTCAGATGACTACATTTTAAAATAACTTTGCCAGCTCACTCTGCCAGCACAGTCTGCCCTTCCCACTTTTAACCAATCAGTTAATTAATTGCTCTTGTTATTTGCCATCAACTTGATTTATGGCCACCCTGTGAATGAGAGACCTCAAAGAGTTCCAACTGCCCTTTTCAGGTCTTGCAAACTCAGGGCTGTGGCTTCCTTGATTGAATCAATCTACCTGTAATTTGGTATCTCTCTTTTCCACTGCCTTTATGTTTACCAAGCATTATCGTCTTTTCTAGAGAGTTGTGTCTTTTCATAATATGTCCAAGATACGACAGCCTCAGTTTAGCCATTCTTGCTTCTACGGAGAGTTGAGGCTTGATTCATTTGTCTTTTTGGCAATCTAAGATATCTGTAGAACTCTTCTCCAGTGCTGTTTGTTGTTAGCTGCCTTTAAGTTAATCTCGACTCATGGTGACCTTGTGAATGAGACGTCTCCAAGCCCCCTTGTCTTCTATCTCCCTGCTCAGATCCTGCAGGCTCAGGCCTGTGACCTCCCTGATTGAGTCCATCCATCTGGCATCTGGTCTTTCTTTCTACTTCGCTCCACCTTCTCCAGCATCGTCTTTTCTAATGAGTCATGCCTTCTCATTATGTGGCCAAAGTATGACAGCTTCCACAGAGAGGTTTTTTTTGGCTTAATCTGTTCTAGGACCCATTTGTTTGTCTTTTTAGTTGTCCATGGAATCCTCAGCACACTTCTCCAGCACCATATCTCAAATGAATTAATTTTCTTTGGATCTGCTTTCTTCACTGTCCAGCTCTCGCATCTGTACATGGTATTAGGGAATACAATGGCTTGAATGATTCTAATTTTAGCGTTCAGCAGTATATCTTTACACTTTAGAAGTTTGTCCAGTACCATATTTTAATTAAATTAAATTAATATCTCACCTTTCTCCCAATATGGAAGAGGCATACAACAAATTATAACAAATGCTACAGAAGTTCACTCTGTAATTTGACTGAAGGTCTTCCTGTTCCTTTATCTATTTTCCTGGAAATGTCTTTGCAAGGGTATAGAATCATAGAAGCACAACATTGGAAGGCTGGACCATTAAACTCTACCTAGAGCATCTCCAGCAGTTAGCTGTCAATCTCTTTTTGAAGACATCCAGAGAAAGAGACCCCATCAGCTCACTAGAGAATTGGTTGGGCTCTGTCTTGTGCTCATTGACACACAAAAATGTTATCTTTCTTTGAATGAAAGGTTGCTTTTAAACAGTGGATCATCCCTTCGGGCATTATTGACAGTTCAAAATAGTTTTCAGGAGTTGTACTATGAAAAATTACTGGCTGTGGCATGCAGAGGTCCTTGGAAATGCTACTCTCATTGTTGTAATGTATATATATATATATAATTTAATTTAAAAAAAGGAAAGGAAATGCTACTCTCATTAATGTTGTTGTTGCTTTGTGCCTTCAGGTCATTTCCAACTTATGGCAACCTTAAGGCAACCCTATTACAGGGTTTTCTGGGGCTGAGAGTGTGTGATATGTCCAAGGTTACCCAGTGGCTTTCTATGGCTGAACGGGGAATTGAATCCTGGTCTTCAGAGTCATAGTCCAAC